CATATTACACATGGATGGATATCTTTTGGTATGTCATCCTTTGTCGATTAGACTTCCAAGAGTTTATCTACAAGTGGCACTCTACACTAGGTAGCTGCTGCCCATTTCACCTTTCTTACAACATAAAATATGTGATACAAACCATGCTCTTGTATTTCAGTTAAAACCTTAAGATACTTAGATAGTGTAAATGAGAACATTAAATTTCTTGGGTGTGTACACAAAGTTTAAAGGTGTTTAAGAGATAGTAAGTCTGGATATTTCATGTTTTTTGGGCAAACTAATTTACATGCAAGTCTCAGATAAGTCCAATTTCTGACAGAAGAATTGGGCAAGAAAGTTAAATAAATGAATTCTGAGCTAAGAAGTAAAGAGACTAGACTCATGGTGTTAAAGTGAAACAGTCTTTAACAGATGCAAAGCCAAAACTGTTTATACTTAAGTGACCACCGGACAGTCAGTAATTCTCCTAATGAATTGGTTACCCAAAAAATAGCAATTACCTCACAGGCAAGGGCAGACTTCGCAGCATATATCACAGAGGGGAACAAGATGAAAAAATGATATTAAAGCTATAACTAGAAAAATGCAAAACTGATAAACCATGGGACAAGTGCCCCTTGTGGACCAATGCTCACAAGATGTTTTTCATTCATCAATCAAAACAAATAGGACTGTATGTAAATCTAGTGTGCCTAAAAGGTAACCTCAATTTTAACCAGAAGTGGTAACAGTTACTAGTCATTCTTGTACCATATGGGGCAAGTGCCCCTTGTGGACGCCTATGCTCACAAGATGTTTTTCATTCATCAATCAAAACAAATAGGACTGTATGTAAATCTAGTGTGCCTAAAAGGTAAACTCAATTTTAACCAGAATGATAACAGTTACTAGTCATTCTTGTACCATAGGCATAGTTTGAAAAAGCTATAGATATCATCAACTTGGCCACCAAAGAACACTGCTGTAAATGATCTATTTATATACAGTGTTAAGTAATTGCATCTTCTGTGGGCAAAGGAGATACTATCTGCTACAGAACAACAAAGACAACTATAATGAAACAATTTCAGTAGTTATCTGGACCATGTGTTCATACCAAAACTCCATGTAAACAGGCTAAACATAATAATTTTGAAATTCCCATATTTATAAAAAACTAGCCTATATATCCATTCAACACGTAGCAGGCCAGAACCCTTTTGCATGTCTTTCAACATCAATTTGTCTTCTTCACTTTGCTTCTTCAGCAGCTGCTTTTGACTGTGTCAGTTATTTTCTTTCTGTTTCAGTTATCCAAACTTTTTCTAAGTTTCTTTTTATTTTGTGGTGTCATATGTGTACTTTTTCTTTCTCTGGCTAACAGAGAAAGAACACTGTGGCTAACACTGTTTCTGAACTATTTTCAGTTTTATTCAGAATTTTAGTTTAGAATTTGTTTCATAGATGGTGCTAGAAGTGTTCAGTTGAAATGAAAAGCTGAAGCAGCTTGATGCTGTAAACATGCCTTCTTTTAATTTGAATATCAACAAATGTCTAAAATCCTTCATTTAATTTATAATTTTACTGAGAGAGCTTCCTATAAATATGACCATTTATATATTAAACATAAAATCCTGATTCAACTAGTAATTGAATACAAGACTTTCACAGAGTCAAGCACTATTACAACTAACGAACTTTGACATCCAATGTTATCATGGTATTAGTGTTTTTTATTGAATGAGTTTGCTCTAAACATGATTACTTATCAATAAAAAAAACAACTCTGATGTGTCACAGTTGTATTACCAAAGTATCAAGTTTTTTGTTTGTTTTTTATTACAGTGCAAAAGGTTTGTCCCATATTCATTACTACTTTCAGGGGTGTAGGAAGGAGTTGCAAAGTGGGGGGTGCTTGGCCAGACATGCAGATTTATAATTAAAAATTTAAAGTATAAGGAGCTGCCAAAAGCAGCTCAATCTAAGGGGTCTGGGGGCATACCCCCCAGAAAATTAACATAATATAACTTACAATTGCTATAAAAGTAAAACATGTAAAAGTGGGTGGGGGGGTGCTACAACACCCCTAGTTCCGACACCTCTGACTTTGAGCATGAACCTCGGTATTCTCCCTCTTTTTTTTGTATAACAAATTATTTTAGAAGCCAACATTAATGTATGTACAAAGACGATATAGAAGCTTTTCCAACAGGATCTATTTGGCTAACTTAAAATGTTATGCTTCACATAGTAGTGAAATAATCTTTGTGTTGAATCAGCTTATATGAGGTTAAGACTGCAAAAGAAAGTCGCAACATCTCAGATTTCAACACAGATAGTTTTCTGCCAGATTAATGTTGGATAAACTCTTATGTTTAAATCTTTCATCTTTTAGTGTTAACTAAACTAGCAGTGCAAGTGGTGTTGTTTTTTTATATAATATAAAAATAATTTTGCAACTAAGAAGAAATTTGGGATCAAAACTTTATGAAGTAGGGGGGCAAACTTTAAGCTACATTTGTATGTGTAATGTTATATTTGAATAAAAATGATCTATAATAAGAGTATGCAAAATTTGTATATTTATGAAATCCATTTCTGTCCAGTACAAGGTTCCTTGAATTTTCCATTATTTTTGTGGTTATGGAAAACAACAACTAAATACCTCTCTTTCCGATTCCGCAGTACCAATTTCAGTCCCGACTAATTCTGCTTCTTCCATATTTTGGCTTTTTTCAACCGATTCCGCTGTCACATCACTGTCTTTCTCTCCATCTTCCATATTGTTTTCTGATGAGATCAAAGTAACATTTTGTTCCATGTTTTGATCGCCAAGAACCGGATCACTCTTAGGCTGCTTGAGAATGTAAAGTTTTGTGAATGTTTTCTTAGAAGAGTCAATTTATCACTCTAAGTAAGTGATAATAAACCAGCTTTTTTGTTTAGGTTGTACTCGATCATATGGAGGATCACTCTTAGGCTGCTTGAGAATGTAAAGTTTTGTGAATGTTTTCTTAGAAGAGTCAATTTATCACTCTAAGTAAGTGATAATAAACCAGCTTTTTTGTTTAGGTTGTACTCGATCATATGGATTCTAATGGAACAAAAGAATATGTAACTTTTTCATCTTTATAGACAAATAGCTAAACAAGATACCACAATGACAATACCAATGGTGTTACTTTGCTAAAAGTAGAGATTCACCATCAAAACAAGTACAAGAAAATCATCTAAAACAGTAGATTAAACTGATCCATTACATATTAGCCCATAGTGTAGTAATATGGAAAACTATTTTCCCAACTAAATCTTATGAAATTAAAAGCTGGATGATCAAAATCCATCTATCCAATTCATATCCTGACTATGTGAGTAAACACAATCCATTTTAACACTCACCTAAGCTGTGTCCCCACTAACAAGATATCGTTACATCTGTTGAGTACAGCTAGTGGTTAAACTGATTAGAAGCTGTAACGCAAGTGATACTGAAGGACTTTTTGATTGGCCATGTAGAGGTATACATCTACCAATACATGTAGCATTGTTAATAACTCTAAGAAACAGTAGTGTTAATGTTACAAAGAAATACAAAATGTCCAACTTTTCAAGGATTTAAAATAATAAATGATTTGAAAAGTCATTACTTAATTTGCTTTTAGAAACAGTTACTGGCAAAGAAGTGACCAACTTCTGAAAGTTTTTAGGCCAAAAACTATTGTAATAAACAAACTTAAGTTGTTGTTTTTTTTAAGTACATTATTTCTTTTAATTGTCACCAGGTGGTAGCATTGTAGAGTATATTTTAGATTAATCTCAGCATTGATCTTGTACTTTATACTCTTGTTCAAGTCCAAATAACAAGGTAATTTAAAGATAACTAAGGTTCAGAGTTTTGTGGATAATTTATGAAGATACCATCATAAAGATTTGGGTTTCTTGCCGACTAATTGGTGCCAGCTTAAAATTCAGCTGCTTTGTTTGTTTGTTTTTACAGAAAAATGAAAGTGTTAGTCTAGCTAAATTAAATATTTTGCTATTAGATATCAAAGGATACATAAATTACTACAAAAGTAAAATATGAATGAAACAGTTTGTTTGAAATAACAGCAAAAAGTACAAGTTAGTGTTTAGCTTATGGCAGGGATGTTGCTGGGTGCTGGTTCACCCCTAATAGATTTGGGGTGCTGTGAAAAATGCATCTTATTAAACTAACCTATTAAATTGCAAGTCTGTCTTAATTATTTTGAATAATAGCTGCTGCTTCAGGGTCAAAGCCTAAAATGTTTTTAATTGCCAGCAACACCCCTGGGTTTACAGCACAGTCTTTGACAGTAGAAACTTTCTGGTCTCTGTTACCACTTACTTGTGGAAGTTCCATCTCTCTCTGGGAGTCAAATTCTTCTTCCACAACCATTTTGGAAGAAGTTTGTTGAAGCTGAAATACTGTGGTCATCTCAGAACTATCTAAATCTGTGAAAACATTAGTTTCTGTTGTGTTTGAAGACAACTGCTCTGGTCTTTTGTCTTTGGGTTGTTGGCAACTTTCGGAAATTTCCAATGGATTGGGGGCGATGGAACTATCAAAACTCGTAAACTCCTGATGAGAAATCAGCTCATCTACATAAGAGGATTTAATGTTTGTCTCCTTTTTGCTGGAAATATCCAAATCTTTTCTGTGTACCTCTTTTGGTGAAAACTGGTCAGGTTCTGAAGACAGTGGGTCAAACATGTCTAGATCAACCAAACTTGAAGTTTCTTGCGAAGCTTCTAATGTTTGACTATGTTCAGATTCAGTAATTGATGATTTTGATGTGGTTTCATTGAAGTTAAAACTCAAAGGGTCAAAATCCAAGATCATATCCTTAGTATTTTCAGCACCTGGTGACAAAGGAATTGAAGTATTGATGGGAGGATTGTCTTCCATATCCATAAATGAGTCCACTCCTGACATTATAGCTAGAAAGGAAGCAGAATTACTTTTAAATCTCGGGGAATGATTGTGTTTAAGTTGCAGAATTTTTATTATGACATGTATTTATTTGTTGTTGTTGTAGAGATGACTTGTGTGACATGTGATCCGTCATCTAGCTCGTTTTTATGCTTTAAAAAAATTATTAGATTATCGTTTATAGAGTATAACAATTATTAAAGAACCGATTTATTGATGACAAGTTAAAACGAGCTTTCAAGTTAGAAATGTGACAGTATTGTGCTTTGTCATGAACATCAGGACTGATTGTAAGATGATAGTTTCTGTGTGGTACATTTCAACTTATCATGGTTATTTTCTAAATGCCCGTATGTTATAAATATACAACTTTTGTAACATCACTCTTCTAAACATATTTATCTTTGCCAACAAAGAAAATATGAAATAAAATACTTTAATTTCAAACTTAGACAGTTGCATCTTCTGTATATACAGGGTACCATTTTACACACAGTTTTCCTTCCGAGTATAATAATGACTGGTTTCCTAGGTAACCAATAACAAGTGTTTGAAGAAATTTATAACAGGATTAGCTAACAGTCTTATCATTAAAACCTGGCTTTAGAAATTACTAAAGTCTTTAGATTAAAAACTGTTGTCTTCAAATAGTTATTTCGTATTCGTAACTTTTTAAACCTAAAACAAATATTAAATACAAATTTAGTCATTATGATGATATATTTAAGACTGGAGGCCTTTGTTAGATTGAGACGTGATATGTTGACGAATAAACTTTAGAAAATCGTATTATCGAAAGTCAACATTACTTTAAAAAAATGTGTAAAATACTGTGGTTAAAAATCTGAGTAACAAAAGCAATGGAATTCTTTCATTCAGATGATCAGATAGGAAGATCAAACGGTTTCTTCCACCTTTCTTATATGTTTGTATTCATAATGCTTTCCTATTTATTCCATTTAGGTCCCCGCTGCTTCAGCTGAAGAGCTAGCACTCGCTAGTAAAGAACTTTTTAACGACTCAAATTGCTACATTCTTCCCTTCTCACAAACAACGCAGGTCCTCGGGTCTAATTTTAGGGTCGTAGAATGGCCTCCAGTTTGCCATCAATATAATAATTTTATCATTGTATCTATCCTCGCGTCGGATTTGAACCAGAGACCTTTCCGCACACCAACCAGTAGGGCAGTTTATCTAAATTGTAAGTCATTTTCTTATAGACTCAACTTTTCTTTTTGTTGCTTTTTTATAGAGATTTTATCTTAAGCTCAAGAGTACGTTTGTACTGAGAAGTGATAAGAATTAGTTAATATTTTGAATTGTTTTATATGTGTTTGTCAATATAAAAAATTACCCTACCTCTCAGCAAACTGGACAATGGTTCATCGAAGGGGGGCGCGAAACAAAATGAGAAAATAAAACGAAGATTTTTTGTTCTTTTACCGTTATTGTAATTAAGTAATAATTGTAATGTTTTTGTGAAAACTATTTTATAACTGAAGATATGTAATTTTGTATTTACTTACAGTATCGGTCATGATAGTACACCAGATTCTTATGTTTGTGAACCACTGCGCTGTTTGAAAATAATTCACCACATCCGCAGAAAATTAAACCCTGCCTTATGCTCTACTCTCAACCTTAGTAATCACCAAATTCAAGTTTTTAAATTGTGTCTTGGAAAAAAAAAAGATGAATATTTAATTGCGTGTTTATTATGCCCCCAAAATCACCCAATTCCGAATTATTCGTGGTTGAAATGACAACTGTATAGTTTTTAACCATTTGTTTACATTCACTGGTTCTACTAATGGTAAACTACTACGTTTCATACTTGTAATAAAACAATAACTTAAGATCTTGAACTATTATTTTAATTAGTACCATAGATGTGTACTTACACCTTTTATTTCTTACTATAAAAGCCATTAAAATGAATCCTTTTTTACACTATTATGTAAACTCCAAGGCGAACTAATAAGAAGCAATGTATAACAACAGTCAAGCATAATTTTCATAACAAATATTAGACCTAATAGTTTCCATCGTTTCGACAGTATTTCGTGTTTAACACTGCAGTTGTTAAACAAGTTTATAAATAGATAATTAAGAGTTATTTCTTGTTTGTTAGATTTCATGAAAAACTCCAAGATGGCTATCTGCGCTAGCCGTTTTAGAAATGATAAACTAGAGGGACGCCAGCTCATCAACACCAGCGTTATGATTGGCTCGTTTTACTAGACACGATGTAATTTATTTACGGCAGTTAAGGGATGGGATAAATATTAGAGCGGTTAGGGCTGGTTTCGAGATTTTTTTTTGGTGTTTTGTTCAATTTAAGTCATTTCATTGGATAGGACAAGCTAGATGGACCATCGGGTCCCTTATTGTCCTTTAATGTAAACAGCTTCAGCGTGGATACAAGTTTGTTCTCACTTGACAGTTTACCCAGGATGGCTTATACAAGTTCGTTCTCACTTGACAGTTTACCCAGGATGGCTTATAAGTTCGTTCTCACTTGACAGTTTACCCAGGATGGTTTATACAAGTTCGTTCTCACTTGACAGTTCCCCAGGATGGCTTATAAAAGTTCACCAAGATAATGTACTAAGAACAGAAGCAAAGATGAAATTAACGTTATCTTTACGTTTAATATACAGTGAAAAATGTTGCCTGTGAACCGAAACGTTTAATATCCGTTGAAATAGGAATGTTTTCACTTTTTTAGAAGGACTGAACAGTTTTCCCAGCTGGTCTACTCACAAATGTTTACTTTACTGAAGCTATATTTAATTTAAAACCTGGAGAACCCTAGACGACAAGAAATCAAACCTTATGAAAACATGTGCTAACAACAATATCCCGACCACAAGTACAAGTACCTGGAAACCATCCCATAAAACAGTACAGTCACTTTGAAGCATTGTTTACAACACGACTAGGCGCAGCGCAGTTTGATTAGAGCTGGTATATAAGCAACAATAATATATATATTGTTATAGGATATTTCTATGGTAACTCTGAATGTGTCTATTGTTCAAAAACTTGCCGGGCTATTACTAGTAATTAATTACACAAATAACGAACTTCTAAACAGTGGGGATTGACATTTGTCCTTATAAGGAACTTGTTGTCCTTCCATGGAAAGTATTAACACTGTCTACAGTGTACATACACACATTTTGTACGAGTAATTGTTAACAGTGCGTCATCTGGTGTCCCTACACAGCGTCAGCGTGACGTCACGTATAAAAACCTGCTGGAGAAAGCGTGACACTGGCCACATTGCCAACTGTTCTGACAAGATTTGTAAACTTACGTACTTATCACAGCTGCTAACCTATAGACCTCGAAATTAGTTCGCAAGAATCATACTTTCGGGGTAACTTGTAGTCGTGAAAAACAAGAATTAATAAACATTCATACTGTTTCTTTTGTAAACCAAAGTGTCGTTTACATGTCTGGAAGTTGTTCGTGACACTACTAGTTAGACGGTACATTAATTACTGGGTTAATGTTTAGTTTTGATCTATGTGGGCAGCTTGCTTTGATCAGAATTAATGATAAAACTATCTGGCTGTAATACAGAACCTACTAATGTTGGTGTTTCGCCAAACTGTCGGGATAAAACAAGATACACACACACACACACAAATTATACTTCCAAAACACTTCAACGTTGAAAACTATCATGTAATGAGTCAAAGTTCCGGGATAGGTAACTATAGCAACTTGATGGAATCCATCTTATCATCTAGCCTCACTTCGAACACTAAATTAATAAATAACTTCCTCTCACACTATCAACGTTGAAAACTATCATGTAATGAGTCAAAGTATCGGGACAGGTAACTATAGCAACTTGATGGAATCCATCTTATCATCTAGCCTCACTTCGAACACTAAATTAATAACTTCCTCTCACACGTGGCACCGGTAACAATGTACTAGTGAAGACAGACGTGGCACCGGTAACAATGTAGTAGTGTTAGATACAGAACATTGTTTTGGTGTAAATAAGGTGTCACAACAACTTCATCAGTCGGCTGTGGTGTTAGATACAGAACATCGTATTGGTGTCAATATTTATCACAACATTTTCATCAGTCGGCTGTAGGGGGGGGGCACATAACAATACTTCCCCGGGGCCCTTAACTCTCGTCGGCCCTGCTGTCTCTGTTGATGTTATCAAATACTGTTAGCTTCTAAAGCCATGCCAGTTGTTTCTTTGTTTTCACTGTGAACTTAACGTTGAAACGGCACCGGTAACAATGTAGTAGTGAAGACAGACGTGGCACCGGTAACAATGTAGTAGTGAAGACAGACGTGGCACCGGTAACAATGTAGTAGTGAAGACAGACGTGGCACCGGTAACAATGTAGTAGTGAAGACAGACGTCTGTCTTCACTACTCCATTGTTACCGGTGCCAATGTTTAAACCCGAATTCACCGTTAAATCCTTATCCGATTTTAACGCTGACTAATCTCGTCGGCGCGTGCATGTGCACACCAAAAGTGAACATACACTCATGCAGATACACACACGCATACGTTGCCATGGAAACTCGTCATCTGGAGCGTGCGTTTCCGCTGAACATAAAGTGCTGATGTAGCACGCCCATAAACTTTGCAATTATTGTAATGCAAGTTTTGTCGGCAATAATATAGCACTAATGACCCTATGCACATACAAGTATCAATACCTGTTTATTCTCGTATCTAAAGTTTATTTCAGAATCAGCCAAGAATGATCTCCATAGTTCACTCAGCAATTAAAATATCCAACGTAAAATATAATAAATTATTCAAATAATCCCATACTTACTCATAGAGTTCACATGCATCCAGTCCGTGTTTTAAGGTTAACTATTTATGCAAAGTTCTTTATAGAAAAATCACCATCAACATTGTAATTAATCCTAGTAATTATTCCGATGGCCTCCTGTGTGTTTAACGTATAAAATAATTATTCCGATGACCTCCTGTGTGTTTAACGTATAAAGTAATT